TCAGTGTGAAGTCAGCAACTTATTTTGACCCTGATGAATGGCTCCCCCACTTCCAAGTGGTACCACACATAGGTAGCCAGTTTCAGGGAAATTAATTTGAGGTTAGGTCAACCTATGGAAGACAGAGCTGAAAACCCTGCCAGGAAGTCTAATGTCACCCTGTAGACAGGCCAATTGTATTCTGCATGCTGGAGTTTGGTGAACCAAACACATTCTGTTTATTTAAACAAGTTATGTCTGTTTTCTTTTTGTAACTAGGCAAGCTCTAGTTATTGCTACACTGAAACCTCTTTTAAAAAACTCCAGTAAAGTTATTACTGGAAAGCTTCCGTTTCTTGGCACTGTTTAACTTTAGACATTTTCAATCTTACAGCTAGCCTCATTGAGTAGGTTACCAATGTAAAGCTAAATGTCAAAATTGTAGTTAAGTCTTGGCATGTAAGTGGTTTTTAAAAAGTATCTTATTCTTAGTATATATTTGTTGTACACTGGATTTTATTATGACACACATTGACCATGCTTACTACTTACCTTCTTTTAGCTCCTTCTCCTTTCCAAACTTTCTTAACTTTCATGCCATAACTGATGTCTATATAGTTAGATATTCATATGTAACTAGATGTATATGAGAGAAACCTTGTGGTAGTTATATTTGATCCATGGTAGTGTCAACTCCTTGCTCTTTTGTATCAAAATGTTAAAGAAAAATGTTATACTTATTTGTGTGTGTCTACATGTCAAGGTGTGTGTCTATAGTGTGTGTATGTGCATGTGTGCATAGGTAAGAAGGCATCCCTCAGGAATGTGTTCTCTCCATCCACCATGTGTGGTCCTGTGGCTCGAGCTCAGGTCAGAAAACTTGACAGCAAACTGTTATAGATGAGTCACCTCCCTGGTTATTGTGTCAAAAATCTTAGAGTACTCAATCACATCTGAGAATCCTCAACCAGTTAGTGTTCTTAGCAGGATGACTCAACATAGTACACATGGGGCTGAAATTGTGTTATTAAAATAAAAAATTTGAAGTTAGGCCCTGGTTCTTCTTCCTAGCCCCATACTCCCAGAAATAAGACTCGGACTCAAAATACATTTACAAATACCTTGGTCCTATGTCTAGGCTCTACTCTGATTAGATAGAACGTAAACTGTCCATTTATTCTAGCCTACATTCTGCCCCATGGCTGGTTACCTGTGCTCGGATACCATGCTCGCATCTGGTCACATCTTTCAGGCAAATATCCCTGCACCTGGCTGTATTCCAGAATCCTTTCTGCTTTCCAGATGTCCCACCTCCATTTTCTGCCTAAGCTGTAGGCCAGAGGGGATGCATCCATATAATACACAAGGTATTCTCTCTACAGTATAAAACTTTCAATGACATAAAAACGGAGGTGAGAAACTAGGTGTGGCGGCACATGCTTTTAATCCCAGCAGTTGTGGGGCAGAGGCAGGTAGATCTCTAGGTTAGAGGTCAGCCTGATATGTAGTGAGTTCTAGGACTGCTAGCCCTAAACAGAGAAGCCCTATCTCAAAAAACCAGTGGATATAATTAATCAAACACTGCCTCACTGCTAAGAGCACCAGAGAATTTCTATGCTTTGTTTCCTTTAATCTCTTACAGCATATGATGTTGGTTAAATTTTATTTTTTTATTATTCTGTGTGTGAGGATGTATGGAATGACATTAGCATCACAGTGTAATTGTAGTCAGAGGTGGTTTGAATGAGAATGAGGCCCATTGGCTCATATGGTTGAATTCTTGGTCCATTTGGGGAAGGATTTGGAGCTGTGACCCTGTTGGAGAAGGTGTGGCACTGAGGGGGCAGAAGGCTTTGAAATTTCAATAGATTGGTGCCCCTCCTAGTGTCTTTCTCTTCATCCTCTGGCTCCTAGGATTGCCTCTTACCTGCCTGCAGATCAAGATGTGAGCTCTCTACAATCAGCAGAACCAGAGCATAGGTATAGAGGAAGGGACCAGAGAGAATGGATAGATCTCATTAGGAAAGGGAAATAGAATAGTTAATTATGGAACAGGAGGGTCACGTGGGGGGGGGGTTGAGGGAGGGAATATGAGGAAAGACAGCTAAAATTAAGGGACATTTGGAGGGGATTATGGAAACATAATAGAAACTTCCTAAAATATATACATATATGAAGGCAATCTAAATAAAACACCAAATAATGGGTTCCCAACTGTTACCAATCGAGGCTTCCAGTACTGGTAGAGTTATATCCAGCTGAGTTGTTGGCCATTGGATCCCATGGAAATCCCCAAGTAATCTAGGCTGTTGCCAAGACAATAGGTTGCTCTCCATAAACAGACAGCAAGGCTCCATTGCTGAAGACAACACCTATGCCACTCACTGAACATGGAGAAGTCAAGCTGGTGCCTGCAGAGCCTTTACCCCTATGTCCTAGTATCTTTGGTACAGGAAGGTACTCTGCAGGCTACCAAGAAAACAGCAAACATCAAGGCAGCCACAAACCTTTTGATTGACAATGGCGTCCTGCCAGCAAGATATGCTAAGGCAATGATGGCACAAAACTTGTAGGAGTGACCAACCAATATCTGATTTAAGTCCTACTCCATGAGATGGAACCCACACATGATATTGCTTGGGTGACCAAGAACTAGAGACTAGATAATCCAGGGACCTGTGGTAAAACCAAATACTTCTGGTCTAAAAAAACATAGTGACAAAATGATTCCTAATGACATTCTGCTACATTCATAGGTCAGTGCCTTGTTCAGCCATCATCAGAGAGGGTGCAGATAGAACAGAGACCCACAGCTAGGCATTATGCAGAGAGAGAGGGAGGGACAGAGAAAGGGAGGGAGGGATGGAGGGATGGAGGGAAGGAGGGAGGGAGAGAGAGAGAGAGAGAGAGAGAGAGAGAGAGAGAGAGAGAGAGAGCGACCTTGCAACAAACATCTGTAAATGGGATGTCTCTATCAAATCCCTGTCCTCATAGCACAGGGAATCCTGAAGAAGAGCAGAGTAGATAGCAGCGTGGGAATCAGAGGGGATGGAAAACACCAGGCCTTTTTTTTTTAGGTTTTTTTTTCGAGACAGGGTTTCACTGTGTAGTCCTGGCTGTCCTGGAACTCACTCTGTAGACCAGGCTAGCCTCGAACTCAGAAATCCGCCTGCCTCTGCCTCCCAAGTGCTGGGATTAAAGGCGTGCGCCACCACCGCCCGGCAGAATAAGGCCTTCTAATTGAACCAAGCAAAGCTCATATGAGCTCAGAGACTAAGACAAGCACAGGGGCTGTACAGGTCTGCACCAGGTCCTGTGTACATATTATGGTTTCCGGTGTTTCTGTGGGACTCCAGAGTGTATGCAACAAGAGTGGGTCTCTGATCCTTATACCTTCTCTTGGGCGCTCCTGTTTGTCTTGTCCAATTTCAATGCAATTTTTTAAACAAATCTTACTATACTTTATTATGTTTGGTTATCTATTAGAGGCCTGTTCTTTTCTAATGAGAGACAGAAAGGGAGTGGATCTGGATGATAAAGGAGGTACGGGAAGGAGTAGGGGGAGGGGAAACTGTAATCAGGGTATGTGAGAAAACAATGTATTTTTCCATATAAGGTGTAAAAAACCAAAAAAAAAAAAAAAAAAAAGGACAGTGGGGGTGTACGCCTTTAATCCCAGCATTTAGGAGGCAGAGGCAGGCGAAAAACCAAAAGCCAACCAACCAACCAACCAACCAACCCCCCCCCCCAGGAAAAAAAAAACACACACAAGGTCTTTCGAGCTCTCTACAGTTCCTTGCTGCCATCATGGACTCTGGCACTCTTAAACCATAAGCCAGTTAGACTTTCTTTTTGAGTTGCTTTGGTCATGGTGTTTTGTCGGTGCAAAAGAGAAGTGAGAAACCGTCAGAGGACAACCTATGAAGTTGGTTCTTCCTCATTGCCTTATGTGGCCAGGTCTTTTACCCACTGAGCCATCTCACTGGCCTCTTAAGTCCCTTTGAAAGGTTTCCTTTTACAGTTTGTTTTTTTCAAACACTTCTGTGTCTGGAGTCCCATCCTCCTGCTTATTTAAAACCTCATACTTCTACTCCCTTTCTTCTCCATGGCTTCTCATGCAGCCTCTACTGGTCTCTACTATGCTCTTAGAGAAAACAACACTGTACATTTCTGCTGGTCAGACTTCTCAGTGCTGCTAGGATGGGCTCCATGGGGCCCTGTAGCAGTGGCTTGTCCCACCTCTTGTGTCACCCTTGGTATTTCCCAAGTGCAACTGGACAATCTGAAGTCTGACAGAAACACATTTTCACACACCGACCCTATGCTGTAATAGCAGCCATCTTCCTAGTCTCTCTGTTCTGGCTAGACATACTTTCTTCAAGTGGACCTACTGAAATCCTACCTTACTAACCCCTCTGGAACAAGCATTCCTTCCTGAGAGTTCCCTGCCACACAATCTCTCTCCAGAGCAGCTTGCTTTTAGCCTTCACTAAGCTCTGAACAGATGTTGGTATACCTAGCTTGCTAACTGAGCTCTAGAAAGTGTTCCTGCCCTCAGTAAAGGAAAGGCACTCAGTGAACATTTGAATTGCTAGATACTGTGTGCTTGGCTGTCTCTAGTAAGTTTTTGTGGTTTTCAGGGAAATAAAGCATGATAGGTCTTGGTGTTATTTCATAGGGATATAAAAATGTTAACCCAGGAGTGATATTGTGAGCCTGTAATCCCTGCATTTAAGAGGCTGAGCTATGAGTTTGAGGCCAACCTGGGCTATATTGTGAGACTCAGGCCAGTCAGGGCTCTGTAGTCAGATGCTATTTTATTATAAGTTAAATTACATTTTTACTGATAGACTGTCAAGAGAAGGCACAAGAAAAACTGACAAGTTTGTAACCACGGTGTGATTAAATGCTGATTCTTTGATTACTCTGATAGGCAGGGTTTGAAACACAAAACAGGTCTAGTCTTCTTCCTCCCATAAACAAGAGCACTAAAAGCAACCCCACTCACAAAACCACAGAAGGACAATTTCATGTGATAGTTTTATTACAGTGCTAATACTCAGGATACCACACAGCACCTTAGTCTTCTAATCTGAGTTTTGGTAACTGGGTTAAAAGTGTTACTCGAGCTTCTCTTTTCCTTCCACATACCAGCTCTGAGGAAAAGTACTCAGTGGTAACTAAGCAATGTTAATTTGATTAAACAGTTTATCCTTAATAACCTGAGACATCAGTCCATGGATGGCTTCTATGGTGGTTTTACAGCTGGAAAGAAGAAACACATCATGTTACACACTGAAAGCTGCTTCTCACATCTCTCCTCCCCTCATGCTCATCCCGAATGCCCAAGAGTCACTCTTCAAATCAAACCAATATTTTCCTGAATTTTTTAAAAATGTTCTGCTTTGCCTAAGTGTTTAATTAAACTAGTTCCCTCATAAGAGAATAACTATGTTAACTTTGCATAATTCATACATTAATTTTGTTACTCTGGCTTTGGGAAAAATTCTGTTTTATAGGCAGCTATATACATTCATTATGGATCTGTATAATATTATTCTACTAATTCCTATAGTATATTAAAAAGTATTCCTGGGGCTGGCAAGATGGCTCAGTTGGGCAAAGGTTCTTGCTGCGTAGGTTTGATCCATGTGGTGGAAGGAGAACAGATCCCACAAGCTGTCTTGTGAACTCCACAAGCATAGCTGGGAAGTATACGCGCGCACGCGCGCACACACACACACACACACACACACACACACACGGCATACATATAAATGTTAAAAGAATTTTTAAATTCTGTTATTCCTCAGAATAACCTAAAAAAATCCTAAAAGATTCTGTTTCTTGAAATAACTATAAATATTCTCTAGAGAGTTGAAAGTCAGGTCATTGGTGAAGGACTTGAGACTTCAGAAATAATTAAAAAAAATGACAATGCTCTATTAATATTGAGAAGAATTAACTTTTTATTACAGTAATTAACAGGAAGAAGTTTCCTATTTTCATTACTACCTTTCACTGCCCTATTTTTTTTAAATAAAGTGAAGAAATGAGGAAAAAGAAAACAATAAAATGAACAAAAACTGAAACAAAGAAACAAATCCATGTGCCATGATGCCATGCTCAGCACTGAAAAATGACTACAGATAAAACATCAGTTCTAGACACAGTGATAGCTGAAGCAAACGTGACTCACTCGGGCCACTCTACCTTCTGAAAACCAATGAGACGGCTCTTGTTTTGGTTTTTGGTGCTAGGGATGGAACCAGAGTCCTGTGCATGGCAGGTAAGCTCAAACACTGAGCTCCATCTCACCCCCACAAGGATTTCTACCAGATGACTCCAGCTGCCAAGATAAACTTTATCTTCCCTTCACCCTTCTTCCTATGGAACAATCTTTTTCCCCTCCTTTAAAAAAAAATGCTCAAAGACAACTTTATTGGAGTTTAAGAGGAAAATATAATATAGATAGAAATCCTGACAGGCGCCAGGAGGAGATGAAGGAAAGTCATGCGTTTTAAGTTTGGCAAGGAATAGAAACAGGTAGCTTAAGAAAAGAAGGAAAACATCACCCCTACAAGTGGAAA